CCCGCCAAGCTTTTGGAAAACTATTTGCGCTCATAATTCCCCTATGTTCCCTTTTTCGCAAACGGGCTGTGACCTTGTGCAACGAAATCTGGGCGCGGGGAAGTTCCGGCACCTGAGCGAAATCGATCTGGCCAAAAGCGTGCGCCATTAAATCATCCTTCCTTGGGCAGTTACCGACATTGAACAGAGTCACTTGGCGGTTGTATTGTTGTAGAAGGAATGTGTTTACAATACATTGACGAGCAATAACACAAACGTGTGACGTTACATGGCCACAATTCCACAGGCTGTTGCCGTGTACAAACCACGTTGGCTGTGTCACTACAAACCTGTACAACCATTTTGTAATCTTCACTAATCCACGCATGTCTGGGTCTAGGTCGTCCCCGTTTTCGCGGGAATTAGTGCGCAATCAAATCAAAATTTGTGGGGTGGAAAATGCATCGCCTTGTGACATCGTTTCCCGGCATTTTCGCCACCCTCCCAGACAGCATCAGCTGACGGTATTTCAGGGCAATGGACACTTTAGCAACGTCAGCGCGAAAACGCGCCGCCTCATTGGAGATCCGGCTTCTGTACGAATGTGGCATGTGTTGGATTTGTCTGACACACCGGAGATGCATCCAACTTTCGCATCTCTGCAATATTCAACCAACAAGTGTGCAAGCCGCAGAAAAACCTTGAAATTTGAAATAAGGCATACCTGGAAAAATGCAGCTTGTTCTCAAGTGGCACGCTTGAATGTTTTCAAGCTCGGCACCATGAGTCGAAATCAGCCTCCGCTAAACCCATCAGCCGGTCTAATTCCGTGCTGGAATCTTTGCCATCAAGGTCGGACTTCATATGTTGTTGTTTCTAACACCAAGTGGAGCTTCGAAATCGAGAGCCGTCCTTGAAATGTGCCATTTGAGAGCGGCGCATACAAACGATAAACGAATGTACGACGGGGGATCTTCTTGTTAACTACGCGTGGCAAAACTGATGTCCGTCAGCAGGTCGGAAAAATTGTGTTTCTTGATTTCTTGATGATTTTTCACGAATATCTTACGTCTGCATGGGAGAGCCCGGGCGGGGCTACGAGATGCGTGTGGAGGGCTGCAGAGGCGGCACGGCTGGCACGGAGCAACCGGCAAGGCCGAGGACTCGTGCCAGCGGCAGCTTTCAACGTTTTTCTCCGCGACATGAATGTGGGCCCCTCAGGCTGATTGTTGCCGGTTGGGTTGCTGGCCAATGAGCCGGGCCTTGCCTTACAAACAGCCACCAACCGCAAGAGGCGGGCTGTGTATCCGGAGCTCGCCGCTGCGAGGCAGTGGAAACTTGCAGTTCTGGGCTGAGGTTGGTGGTTGAGTCGGCCTGGCATTGATTTGCATTGGGGCAAAACCAAAACATGGAACGCGGCGGGAGGAGCCGCCCGGATTGCGCGAAATCGTCTGCGGGGGCCAAACGACCTGGGCGAAGCCACGATCCCGCCGGAACAACAAGCCCCCGTTATTTGAGCACGCCCTTGGGCAGCGCCGTGTGTGCGCAGGCGGCCCTGCAGTCCAAGCGCCAGGAGCACGATGCGCATTGGACAAAAATCTCAGGCATGCGAGAGCTGCAAAAAGCGTGGTTGTTATTCTCCTTTTTGGAGCCACACGCCCCGACTACTTGCTGCGGGTACACCCGTCTGAAACCATGCTGGATTTTACTCGCATGTCGCAAGCATGATGCAGCTGCGGCGCGGTGCCTGGCCGATGTGTTCACCGATGATGAGCCCCTCGCACTCGACACGCTGGCGAGTGGGGCGGGCACACTTGCCGCCGGCAGCCTCGGACGATGGCCGATACGCTGCTGACTGGGCTTTTTGGGTCGACACACGATCCAATGTGGTACATGTGTAAATCTTGGCCCGTCTGCCTCTTATCATGCAAAGTTTTGCAGGCAAAGAAAAGATTGAATATTTCCACCTTCCGACATCTTCCGAAGTGTGACCAGCGAATGCTGCCGAGCACGTTCCAGGATCAGAAAATCAGCCCGTGCTCCCCCATGCGTTTTGGTGCTATGTCTCTTGAAGCACATACTGTAACACGCTGCCAACACATGCAATGCCGTTGTTGCATGGTACCAGTAGCAAGGATCCTTCGACAATGAATCACACTTTTGCATCTCACAGATGACGACTGTCTATATCGAGAAAAAACAGGACGGGCATTGCCTCTCCGTTCCATTGGTTTCAACTCAGAATTTCCCAGACGCTTTCAACACAATCTGCTGGCACTGCGACTGGGCCCTCTTTTTCATCACATGTAGGCTTCAATCATCCTTTCTCTTTCGCAATAATGTAAAAGGGCTGCCCCCTAATGTAAATACTCCGAACAGTAATTAATATTAAGGGGGTGCATGTATCATACAACCCGGACATAACTGCGGGAGTATACATTAGGGTCCTATTGAACTCTAAATAACATCGTGCAAAATTCGGTTAAATCAATTAAAATAATGTGAAATCGAATTCGAATCGTAATAAAATCATAATAAAACCATGACAATCAAAGTAAAAGCCATTGGAACCCCATGAATATCTAGATAAACTCCCTTCAAGATCAATTCACAAACGTAATCAAGCCCATTAAAATCTATTTAAAACCTATTTAGACTGAAATCAAAATCTCATTATCGACATTCCAAACTGATTAGCCACGATTTAGAATCGCAATAAGCAAATCCAATGAAAATCGCATTCAGATTCCACATAAATTCCTTTATACAAAACCATTAGAAAGCCATCCAAGTCTAGGAAATCAAGGATATCCCTAATCCTACAGAGTTATGCTAGGGACCCCCCCCAATTTAGAGGATCCGAGCCGTGATTAACTTTAGTCTTGGCCCTTGTAAACATAGTCTTGGGGGTGGATTTCAGAATTGGGAATTCTGGCGAACCCACATTTAATCTAAGAGGTGTTTAATATTAGGGGGAAGGGATCATCTCCCTGGAGGGGTCAGTTGCCGGGGCTCTGCCCTTCCATGAACATATACGTCTGAGACTGCGCTTCTCCGCGTCGCAGCATGACGCAAGGGGTGGTGGCTGCCATGTCATTGCATGATGAGAGGGGCCGGTTTAGCACCGTGTCACCCGGGGCTGTTCCTCACAAGAGGTTGGCGGCAACATCTTTTGCGACCGTCGCTCGCTTGTTCCGACGTTTTCTGTTCCTGATTTTTGTTTTTGTCATGCGTTTTGATCGGGTTGCCACCACCTCTGTTCCCGACTGGATTTCCGCGGCTGTTGATTGATGCCGTCTTTGCTGCAAAATGGCATCACTGGCATCGAATGGATGAGGCGTCCAGCGCCTAGTCATGAGGTATTGGAAGATTTGTCATTGCAACAAAAATATGAAGAAAAGCACATCAATTACTGAGCAACTTGGATGATGCGTGTCAAAAGCTCTCCTTTGGATCTGCTAGCTAGGGGGCGGTTCTCCTGGGATTGCGACAACAAAAAGTGGAGACTGGTAAGTCGGACGTCGACTCACGGAGTGCCCGACGAGAACGCAGAGATGAAATGCAGCACTTCTGCGCTCTGACTATGCACGCGGTGAAGCAAGGCAAACATCTCGCCCCGCTGACGACGCCGCGTAGATGGCAGGGCTCTAGGTCTGACTATGTTGTTGACAACCCATCATCCCATCATACTGCTTGCAAGGTCGGTGGAATCACCCGCATTGTAAGGCCGAACAGGTAACTGGCGTGCACTCAGAAAGTGGGAAAGGGTCTCTGCCTACTTCGGATGCGCGCGGGCCTCAAGCCTGTCTTCAGAAAGGTTATTCGATAGAAGTGGCCTATCAAAGAATCGAGCACTTTCTGTGATAAATGGGTTTGTGGAACATTCATGCACTCAAAAGCTGACAAGATGTGATAGCAAGATGGAACAATACCAGCACAAGGACACCAAGTCTCACAGACTGTATGATTGACCTCCCAAATTCAACAACAGCTGCCAGACCTCAAACCGTTATTCCAAAGTTTCACCCTGGCTGATCTCATCCAATCAATTAAGCCCGCTAGGATGTCAGGTCGAGGCTTTAAAGCTAGCAGCATGCAAGGTGGACGAACCATACTCAACTCTGGCTAATCAGCAGGGCCTATGTCGAACCGTACCACCTGCACCGCAAGCGTGGCTTATTCTCAGATCACGTAATTGGATCCCACATCAGAAACAATAACCCTCCCTCTACGAAGACTTGAAGCGAGCGTCCAATCTTTGAAACTGTACCGCCATCCCTATTTCCGCCCTATCCTGTAGCCAGTCACGGTTACTCAGCCCCTTCCTGAGATTCCTCTCGGACACCACCCACTACACTAGGACAATTTGCAGGGTCTTTTTTGTGATGCGTGGCAGCAAGCTGTCAAGCTGCCCGAGTCTCACCACATTCTTGAAATGCGGCTTTTGCAAACTGAACGAATCTCGTGCGCTCAAAGCTGAGCGGCGCACACGAAAACATCCCGGTTGGGAAGAGCAGCATGCGATGTTACGTGCTTTTGAAATTGGAAATGCTGGCTCTTCACAAGTGTACCATCGCAGCAAAGCTTTCACCCTGGGCACCTGCACAAAGAAAAAGGAGAGACATCCGGGGAGGGTGAACCGGTGGGGGTCCTATTTCATATGACCATTGGCTAATCACGGCGGCAACCCTCCCGCCGGGAAGTCAACGCCCATTTGGTGTGACTTGAAAAGTTTGGATTCTGCAAGAGTCTGGCGTCGGGCACTCTCGGGAAAAGTTGTGCCACACCGCGTGCAATAAATGAAGGTCAGGGTTTCTGAACACATGCTGGATCATGTTGGTACGTGTGACTACCTATCTGTTTTAAGTCAATTTTAAGTAGTACTGTATGATGACAGAGCTGACCTCTACAGTGGTGCCTCATTTTCGGCCAAAAAGTAAAATCTGACGGCCGCAAGAAGCCTTGCTCGCAAAGCTGACAATAATTCTGTCAGCTGAGCAAAGGGAACCTGCGGAGAAGTTCTATGCGCCAACCGCAGCTTCAGGCACCGCGCCAGCCTGACCCAAGCAGTGAAGCATACCAAGATCAGAACTCCGCGCAGCCCCCAGGGCACCGTCAGCGCTTGGAGTTCACGAATCGGCTTGTAGGACTTCCAAGCTTGGCCAACTCCTCCCCTCAGCCCCTCTTCGGCAACCTTGCCAATGTGGATATCCTTCCACCCACCAGTCCCATCCGCTTGCGCTTTATCATGCTTTATTCCAGTGGCGCGAGCGAATGTGAGTGTGCAGGCTTCTTGTGGACCAGCTGAGTCGGGCAAAGGTTGCTATGTCGGCTCGTGCCTGCATGAACATTATTGAATATCAACGTCCTGTAAACAACAGCGGCTACTACTGGTTTGCAGGCTCATGCAACAGCTCTATTGCACGGCGGCTGGGGCCAACGATGATTGCCGAATGTGACAGCGCTTGACTTTCCGGGCCTGCGTCGCATCTTTCTCGGAGGGCCTCGGCGCAGCAAACCATGCCCCGAAGCAGCAGCCGTGGTCAACGACTCTGCAAGGCTGCGAGTTACGAAGCTTGCTTCTGAGAACTCTTAGCCCATCCACAGTCTCAATTCATAGCCCGCGACAGGTCTTCAAAGGAGAACCTCCTTGAGCGAGTTTTCTGCAGCTTCTGCGCTGACTCGTGATCCTGCAAAAATGCCGTGGATGTATCTTGCTCCCTCTTGCTCCCTCCTGCATCATTCAGTCCTGTGGAGGCAGCCGGGGAGGAGCAACGACCTCCGAGATCATTGGATGCGCTACGTAGTCTCATCATTTCCGGAAACTTCCAAAGTTACCAGTACTGGTTGAGAAGCCCCTCTTCGTCCAAGCAGCAAGAGGCTCCGCAAGAGCCCTGTATTGACCTTGATTTAAACATCCGCCTTCCCGGGGGGTGTGCACCACCCGAACCCAACTCCTCCCGCCCAGCATGTGGGGTGTCCTGGAGCTCGCCTGAACCAGGCCAGAACTGATCATAGAGAGACTGTTGACCAGGAATCACAAACTCGCTGCTTCAATCGCTGGTTTTCGGACGCCTTCGAAATCAGACCTCGTGTGTTGTAGAGCCCTTTGCCATTCAAGGCTAGCTAGTTGGCTTTGGCTGCAGCGGGTCTGGGGGCACAAAGCCCGACCTCGGGTTCTCACCGAAACCTAGGCCTCCACTGGGCTGCATTTTTTGCGCATGGGGAGGTTAGGGTGCATGCATGGCGAAGAAGTGCGTGTGAGGGTCTTCTGCCTGTTCGTCTTGCAGACATGTGGTCGCACACCCATGAGAATGTTCGTCTTTTGGTGGCTTGCAAGCCGTCCTCTGACCCGCTGAAGACACCATGGCTGCAATCGCTGTTTGGAGAGGTCTACGACACTGCTCTCGCAGATGGACACTACCGATCTAATGGCCAAGGCTATCTGGGAAAAAGCCTCAAGAAAGCCAGCAAAAACTTGGGAAAATCCTTCATACTCCTAGACGAAGGCCATCTAGCCCCGACAAAGCTGACCAATCCACGGGGAAATCACACCTCACGGCAGTAACACGGCACGCGCATATCCACGCACGGTCGAGTTCGACACGAGCTTTGCCTCTCGTTCTGGCCCGGTTGGGTGTGAACCAGCTTTGCACCTTTACGACTTTAGCACTGCCCGCAGCAAAACTAAGAGATACTGAGAGCTTCGAAGCGACGAGCATCATGGTAAACATTTCGCATGCGCTCTGAGGGTCAGCTCTGCAGTGGTCTGTGTGCTGCGCAGTGGAGGTCTTGTAAGCTACTATAATCCATGATCGCCGGGTGTTTCATGTTGCTTCCAGGCGAAAGGACTTAGGTGACTGTTTTCCATGGCCTTGGCTCTTACTGTACAGCATAAAGCAGTTTCCCGATCCAGCTTGCAAATCGTGTATTCTCACCTGGCCCACAATGGCAATGGCCTTCATGGGTGATGCGGGCGCGGCTGGCATGCCGGGCACTTCAGGCGCAGCCACCAGCTTGCTTGCTGTCACGCTGGCTGACTTTGATGCACCTCGGCCCAAAACGCTCTACCTTCTACAAGGAACCTCAAGCATTCTCAAGCTTCTACAAGAGAATCTTGCTCTCACGTGGCCTGAAATCTAAGGCTTCTGCGAGAAGGCCCGTCGGTCAGCAGCTTTGAGGCCTCCTCCAATTCTGCACCCCAGCCTTGATCAACATCTTCGGTAGGGGAATTTCTGAAGGCGGTTTGCAGGGCAATGCCGTAAGGTGCAAACGTTCGGCTTGGCTGTCCCCGGGTAGGAACATACGCGCCTGATGGGCGCAGGCACTTCAACTGTACATGGAGAAAAGCCGCTTTAGGCAGACTCGGCCTGTAACACGCCATCACGCCTTGGTTACGGGTTGTATGCTTTTTCAGAAGGACTTGTCCAAAGACGCGTTTGATGTGGCAGCGAGTATTGCTGCAACGTTTGGAATAGCAGCCGAGCCCTCAGCCAAGCCGAGACGATTGCCTGATTCACATAGATGGTGGCACCTGAATTCTTCGAAGTTTCTAGGTATTCAGGTGGTTGCTTCATGGGCGGCTGCCTGCTAGGAGGATTGGCTTCTCCATCGTGCCATCCTGTCACCGCGATAATGGCCTTCAGAGCCCCTAAACAAGCTGCCACGATGCCTCCTCGAACACAAACAGCGTGTCGCCTTTGATTTCGAGAGTCCTGCTCATGCAAAGGCTTTGTGCTGCGCAGAAGCCAGAAGTTGCGGTGGAGCAGACGCCGTTCCAGCTAGTCCTCTCAACTGGCGCTTTACGAGAATCCGCGCGGCGGAAGAAACGGGCTTTCTGGACCTTTCCAGCCTCACATGGCATGCGGCCAGATGCAACTTTTGCTAGGTGCCAGTGGCTCAAAGTTGAAACAAGATCCGAGTAGGTCCCCTGCAAGACCGGACATGGTACGGGTCTTCTCGCTGCGCTGATTCGACATCTGTTGCCAGTCCATCAGCACCTCTGTGAGGCTAGTCCCCGTAGACTGCTCTGCAACTCTTTCATATGATAAGGTCTGAAAATTTGAAGTCATGAACCTGATGTTGACAGGGCCTCCATGGCACTCCGCTGCTCCCAATGAACAAGACCTTGTGGGCTGTTGCTTCTCTCCCGTCATGGAGAACTCTTATAAACTGAAATGCAGGACCTAAGGAACACATAAGAACACAAACAGAGACGGTCTGCTTGGAAACCGGGAAGCCGCAGCCACAGGCTTCCGCACTCTTAGCAGCTTGGATGCAGGAGCTCTGTCGGATATCAATTCCCCACAGGTGCGTCTCTCGGAAGGTTTTTATGATGCATACAACTCACAGAATCTTCCACAAGGAGCAAGGGAAGGATCCCTCTTCAATAAGCAACAATGTGCAGCAACATTGAAACCCTGTCTTTCTTCGAAAAGAGAGCACAACATGTAACAAACCAATGTAAAGAGCTGATGCCCTTGTTGCCTCTTGCCCTTGCTCGGAACATACTGGTTCCTGAGCTGTGTGCCGGTGATCTTTGCAGGGAAGTAGATCAAGCGCTCCCCCAGATTCCTGAAAAAGCTTTGAAGAGAAATTTCGAGGTTTGCTTAGCAATCTTAGCAGCTCTGCCCCTCCGCTTCAGCGAGGGTGGAAAGGACACTTTGAGGCCTGTGAAGGACAACTGAGTGGATTCCTGTAGACTCGACGATACCCAACTTTAAGTCATCGGGGTGCAAAGATCTTCTTGGGAAAGTCTCCACCGGAAGAAGCCACGGAAGAAACCAGTCTTTCGTTAACTGCTAGGGCATCCGGCGGTGACACTGGCTTTTAGGCGCTGGTAAAAGCTCGTAGGCGACATGCGCTGCAGCGCCATACCAGATAGATGAGCATACCCGAGATGTATTTCATGAAAAAGTAGCGCTACAGGACATTTGCGCGAACCGATTGGTGGATAGGGATTGCAAGTTTTGCATCAGCGCGAGGGAGCTCCGCCTTTACACGCCAACCCGACACACTGCCGACGTGCAGCGGCTTCCCGGACCTCGACCCCCATCCACCGCAGCCATGCGATCCTCATAGACCACCAGACGGCTCAGAAGACCGCGGCGAACGTGCAGCGTCGCTGTTCGCACACTAGAGGCTCTCAGCTATTACGGTGCAAAGAGCCGCTGCACACCCTGCCGACACGTAGGTCCTGAAGCGCCGTCGCCGAGCTAAGCGGCGCACCTGGCAAAGCTTGGCATAGTGTACAGAGGATCTGAACACTGAGGAGGCAGTCCCTTGTAGCAGGACGTCGAACATGAACCAAAAAAAAGACCACACTTTCGAGGCTTGCCACCTTGCCCACTGGAGCATTGCGAACTACGTGTTGAAATACTTTGTTTCCAGTTGGCATTATGATTGCACCCATCTCCCCCACATCCTGGGAGTTGTCAACATCATGCGCCTGGCTAGCAGCTCAGCCTTACAATACAAGTTACAAGCCACATCAGTAATGACAAGCCTTCACATCCTCCTCAGATGTGTGCCCCCCAACTTGTTTCCATCGCGTCCCATATTAGTGTTGATGCTGGGCTTGGATAGGACATAATTTGAAGCGTCATGCTGGCATTGGCCATTGGCCGACTCATTTGTAGCAAGTCTTACTTCACCACAGCATCGTCACCTCAGCCTTTGCGAAAGCTTCGAACTTCTCTGCCTTCAGCATGGCCTCCGGGCAAAGAAAGTACGCACACCAGCCAGGCCCGCAAGCCTTCATCTTCAGCGACCTCCCACTTGCTCAGGTGGGCGGACTGCTCGCCTGCCGCCTGGCCAATGGCCGGAAGATGTCGGAAGGCTTTGCTGAGCTGCTGCCAACTGCCAGCATGGAAGCACAAGGCCCAAGGCCCAAGGCCTGGATTGCCTTGCACCACTCTTCCGGAGTGCTGGCTGACGCATCAGGCCAGAGCCTTGCAGTGGCAGAATCTCTGCGCCTCATGCGAAGTGGACACGCCTTGCCTGTGGACATCTCCATTGGGCGCATAGATGACCACCATGTCTTCGAAGGCTGCAGCTTTTGCACCGATCATGCTGAGAACCTTCAGACAAACCAGACAGGAAGCTGCGGGCTGGAAAAACACATCACAAGAGAGTGCACCTGGTCGCTCACGCTCGCTCTCTCTCCGAACCACAACATGTCTTCGCGGAGCGTGGCATGGCAGGCTCGGGCAGCCTTAGCTCAAATTTGAACCAACACGAATGGAAGCCCCATGCGCTAACAACTCGGGAGAACACGGGGGCGAATTAACAACATACACCTCGTCTTCAACCTATTCTTGCAAGATCTTCTGCACTGGTACTTGCACATGCCCCGTAGCCCTGATTTTCAAAATCTCCACGAACGGCTTCTGTGGGGGATTGGCTGATGTCAGACAAGTGTCTGCAGCCTTGTGGAACAGAACGTGGCACTTGCCATCCAAGCAAAAGGAGCCATTCTCAATGCGCCCGGTCTTCTTACTGGCATGCAGGTAAGCAGTGCACCGCAACGGCTTGAATATCTGTAATAGTTTGCCCTCGGCCTTTGCCGAAAGGCGTTCAGAGATTCCACAGGTTTTTTTTTGGTTTTCCCTTATCCAACCTCCTGAGCGCAACCTCCGCGCCTCCCTCCTTACCCTTCTCATCCCTTCTCCCTCATTTTGAAGTTTGCTCCGTCCTCCGGCCTCCTCCCAACCAGGATTGACAGGTTCCCCTTTCGCAGCTCTGGTATCAGCTACAAGCTTCCTCCAGATTTCCTATACACCACGAATCACTGCAAGAGACAACAAGTTCTGGAAATTGGGACGCCCCCTCAACAGCCTCGGCAGCTTCTCGCTGGTAGAGCAGTTGAGGCTTCGGTAGATGGCTGTACGGCATGACTGGGGCGCCTCACACATTTCAGGTCATCTGATGATCTCCGATGGATGGGGACTTGGGCGCATCCCACTGGCGCCAGCTTTCTCAAAAATGAGTGGCTTGGCTTTGCTGGCACTGCTGCTCTACTGTGCAGGATGTCTTCTCCAACGATGGCTTCCAACTACGCAGATTGAATTGTGCTGGCATAATGCCTGAAGGACAGCACCAAAGAGTGCCGCAGCAGCTGCACCCATCTGTCGCCTGCGAGAGATTGCTGTGAAGTCGGCAGTTCAGCAGCTCAAGGTCAAGCCGCACACACTCACACACAAGATCGGGACGAAGCCTCTTAGAATCTACAATCCATCGCAATCCTAGCAAGCGCTACAAATGTATTGGGCCTCATCGTGGAGGCAGTCGGCCGGGTCTTAAGGTTGAGCAGATGAGCAGATCCTTTTGCCTAAAGGCACATTATCTAAGTCATCTCTTGAACGGCAGCGAAATGTGATTGCGACACTGAGGGCGGTGCAGTCTCCTCAATAGCCTTTGCAATCTCTTCCGCCTGCACACCAACGGCATGCTGCCTCTGAGCAAAGTGCCCTGTGGCAAGATGTCGCAAGCCTCATCGGCATCGTTCATCCAAAGACGGACCATGGCAAGTCCATTGGCCCCTCGAACCTGAACCAGCGCTTCTCAACATGGATGCCTTGACTTTGTGAAGACAGCTGCAGCGAAGCCGCTGAGACCATGAATGTGGCTATCGTCGCAGTTGCATCTGGCAACGAGACACAGGGAAAGTTATCAAAGAGTCCGGGCACACGTTTCGGTTATTTCGTTGAGGCGTGGGCTGGTCAGGATGGCTGCTCTTCTCAAAACCTGGCCCAAGATGTGATAAACAAATCCTCGCTCCATTGCTCCACATGGCCTGGCCACGCTCTGCCCACTGCATGATCAGGGCATCCCCATGGATGCACACTCGACCGGCACCCTGCAGAAATCAAAAGTCACAGGAATCCCAAGGGTCGCGAAGAATATCATCTGACAATTCCTGAAACAAAATGCAGCAGGCCTCCGTCTTGAGATCCTTCATGTAGAAGCGAGCTGGGTAGACATGATGCTCCTGCGAGTAGTAGGGTACTGCTGCCGTATTCTTGCCTCCAACAGGCCCAGCGCAGCTTTCAGGATAAGCCCCGCACGCCCAGAATTGGAAGAGGGGTGTTGTGCCTCGAGGTCCAGGTCATGAGTCTAGCTCAACACCCTAGAATTCGCTGACCTAGCCGCAACTAAGCTAGCCTCTTTGGGCGCGCCCAGCTCAGGCTTCAACATTTGAGTAAGTCCAATCGGTGTGCTGGAGGTTTTCTGCCCCGTGCCCCCTGCTGTGCCCTCCCTCCAGCTCTGGAATTCCATAAAGATCCAAGATCTTCTATTGAAAGTTTGCGTGTGCTCGCGGGCCATAGACCCGCGAGCCAAGGCTTTTCTTCTTCTGGCATGGTCATCAAGTGTTTGCGCTGTGTTCAGGAACTATTCCATCAATCTGCAATAACTTTGAGGAAAACGAGTGTTGAGCTTCTCCCATCGATAAACAAGGCCAGCTAAAAAGATAGCAAATCACCACCGGCCAAAGACGTGCTCATGAGGCAGGCATTATCGGATGTTGCTCAAGTGGCCTTTGCCCTTGCTGCTGCCGATGCCTGCCCCCCCAACATCATCAAACCTTCTTGTCTCCAACAGGCCCTTCCAGACCCCATCCCGAAAGCAAGGTCGAGCTTCCCCTAAGCACACGGAAGCATGCTTGAAGGACTTCTGTGCATCATCAGCATCATTGGGAATCGGCTTCTGATTCTTCAGGCTGTTAAACTGGTTGGCGCTACAGGCTTGGATTGGGTGCAACCATTTTGGCCGTAACGGGCACCAGTCTTCCGGGCCTGTGACGGGAACCAGCGGGGACTGTAACAAAAACCGCAGCAAAAACGTAACCGAAACCAGGGCAGAAAGGAACCGAAACCAAAAGCGAAGGACCGAAAATCGGTCCCGCTCCAGAACTACCACTACCATTATACTACTACTCCTCCTTCTCCTCCTCCTCCTTCTACTCCTACTCCTCCTCCTCCTCCTCCTACTACTACTACTACTACTCCTCCTCCTACTCCTCCTAGTACTACTCCTCCTACTACGACTATTAGTACTACCACTACTACCACGATTTCTTCTTCTACTACTTGAACCTCGTGCTACCACGACTCACCTCCTCCTGATACACCTACTGCTCCTACTACTCCCACTCCTCCACGTCTACTCTTCCTCCTGTTCCTGTTCCTGCTCTTCCTCCTCTTTCTACTCGTGCTGGCTGCTACTGCTGCTGCTACAAAAGCAGAATGTTAAGTATGGCGCAAACACCCAAACCGCACGTGGAGATTGATTGTTAAGCAAACGGGCGGTTTTAGAGCGGAGCCAACATCCATCCTAAGAACCCTTCTACAAGCCCTTGCAACACAGAAGGGAAGACGGAGGTGTACACGGCTTCGGGTTTCGGATTCGAAGCTTGAGGGAATTTATAATGAAGAGCTCAGGGTCCAGTGTCCAAGGTTGGGTTTCAAGAATTTGGAGCGTCAACATTCTGCGTTTTCAGTCTGCATCGCACTCTTGGCCAAGCATGGTTCCGGTAGCTGAGCCGCTTGGTTGCTGTTTGCCTTTGTCACATGTCTGGCCTAGCTGCACAATGTCAATTTGAAGTTGAGAATTTCCAAATTTGTCCCGGTTTGAGGATGTTTGAGGCTTCGTAGGAGGCCGGAAATGCCCCAAAAAATGCTCTAGATGGGAGCCCCAAAATCTGTCCCCCTTTGGAAGAGTCCGAACAAAAATGCGTTAACCTGTCTGGAGACATGTGTGGGCTTTCTTGAGCCCCGACTGGTTCCCGGTGCGCATGGGCCGGTGACTGCCGGTGACCCTGTTACGGAAACCGGTCGGTTCCTGTTACGGAACCCCGCCCGGTTGGTTTCATACGAGCTTCATGCTGGATTCACTTTTGATCAAAAAGCTTGATGAGTCTGCAGAGCCATGATGGTCCTAGCTGGTGGTGGTCTATGATGATCCTATCACGGCTTCGGGGAGGCTGGATTTGTGCCAGTATCGTGGTGTTCATGCGCCGCCTGCGCCGTTTCCAGCCCTCTGGTGGTGCCTGCGTTGGGAGTGAGGACACCGTTGCGAAGTTGCAATGATGACTTGCATGAATGTTGTTAACAAAATTTGCTGCTTCTTTCGCACGCTTCTTCGCGACGCCACTTCGTTGTCACTCCGCCCTTTAGCGGAACCGTTCGCCCTTCTTTCGCACTCCGTGGAGTGGCCAACCTGCCTCTCCCAGGACCCCCCGCCAAAAAAAGCATCATGAATCATGAGCTATCATCAGCATGATTGGATGTGCGTTTCCACTCCTCTAGGCTGCCCGTGCGCTCGAAGCCAGGCGCGATCGATCGATGATAGCTTTATGGAGTCTGACCTGGTGTTGTTCGCTCGTTGGGTTGTATACGATGGTGTGAAAATTTCTAAATTTCAAAGAGATTGCAGGTTCATCATGGTATTATGCAGGTTTGCGGGATTTTGATGATGGCTTTAGGTTAAAGCATGGCCGTGCATGATGACTCTATGCTGGGTTTCTGGTGTGGATAGGAGATTTGTGCGGACTTTGCGTCGGCAGTATAGTTTTGAAGCCAATCCGAGAGTGGCAGAAACGTCTTCAAAAGTGGCAGAAACATCTTCAAAAGCAGGGCAGGGCAGAGAAAAAGGTCTCAAATGGGAGCCCGATTGTGATGATGATGATGCTTCTGTCGCGTGCCCCAACGACAACAGCATCATCAGCGCAATTTGAATCGCTTTTGCGGGTCTATGTGCTGTTATGGGAGCTGCAAACCTTGCAAAGCTATGAAGAAGTGTGAGTTTACCTCACTTGGTGGCATGTGGCAGTCTGAGGGTAGTGTTGGAGGGGTTTCACAGGTTACTCCTCCTCCTACCACCACCACTACCAACACTGCTGCTACTGCCAATGCTCCTGCCTCTACTCCTACTCGCACCCGTACTGATACTCCTACCCCGACTACCGCAGCTGCTACTACTGCTACTCCTAATAATACGAGTATTGTGAACAATACGAGTAATTAGGTACACGAGCTTTTTCGTTCGTGATTTCGTTGATTTCACGTCTGTAGTCATGACATGTGATGGGGTGCTCGTGCCGGGGAGATGCCATACGGTGCAAAAGCCACCCCCATCTCCTTGCACGGCAAGGCCAGGAGCATCCGTACAATGGCCTCCGTATAAGAGCATACGCTTCCTACGAGCATTCAAACTGGACAAGATAATAACATTCGGTAACATTCGTGCTACAGGAGCATATGGTTCCCAGCAGCATCCATGCTCGCCAACATAAAACCGTTTGTGTTGCCAAAGCATATTTTCCCCGAGCATCCATTCTGGCCAAGATGATGACGTTCGTGTCACCGAAGCATACGATTTCCAGGAGCGTCCAGTGTCCAAGCTGGCCAAGATAGTGGCGTTCGTGACTTCAAGGTTCTGACGTTCTTCTTCCACGCTCCGGCTGCTGTGATCGATTGTGTGCGCGGGCAACGGCCCATATTGCGATGTGGCCCGTTTGCAGGAGTGGCATTTGCTAAAATGAAGTTTTCTCTGTGCGTTCGGAGCCATTACTTGGCCGAGTTTTAATGCTTTCTGCGTGAGGTTGGCTTTCGGTTGCTTGCACGGGTTTGCGTCTCTTGCGCTGTGTGACAATTTATCGCATCTGCTGGCACAGCTGCGGAGGTTTGAGCTTATAGTGGGTTTTAGGACTGCGTTTGACATGAGAGGGCTTTTGACCTCGGCCCCCTGCTGTGAATGTTGACCTGTCGTCACAAACAGAAGACTCAGCAGCACTCGGCACCAAGAGCGTACGGTTACCAGAGATAATGTCGCTCGGATTCCAAGAACGCGGACTGCGCGCTCTGCAAAGACCGCTTGCATGGTGCTCCGCACTCCGCACAAGAAGTTTTTCAGCCTTCTGAAAATCTTGTGGTCCCGCGATGATTGAACAAATGCTCCCTGGACCACGGTGCAACATGGGCTGGGGTCCACATGCTGTAATACACAAGTAGTTTGTCAGGGTTTGTTGTCACCTCAGAAATGACATAGTTTGCGCGCAAAGCCTCTAAGTGCTGGTACTTTGGTACTGTAAATTGCAGCGTGCTCCTGCTGCAAAAAACAGACGAATGGTCAGGGGTACGACGCACGCCTCCCACCAGTAGCAGTACTACTGCTACTACTACTCCTCCTTCTGCTCCTCCTTCTGCTCCTCCTCCGCCTCCGCCTCCGCCTCTGCCTCCCGCTCCCGCTCCTGCTGCTGCTGCTGATCCTGCTCCTGCTCGTGCTCCTCCTCCTGCTGCTGCTGCGGTGCCGCTGCTCCTGCTACTGCTATACTGCTACACTGCTATACGGCTATGCTGCTATACTGCTTTACTGGCTATACTGCTACCATGCTACTGTGCCACACTGCTACTGTGCTACACTTCCGCTACCACTTCAACTGCTACTGGTAATGATAGGGCTACAGCTACTGCTACTACGATATCCTTTGGTTTCGCACGTGTTGCCAATTTCGGAAGGGGCCCGCGGTACAGTTGCACAGGTTTCTGCCTTCAAAAGCAGCTTCTCGTTGTGATTCCAGGCAGGACTTACCTTTGGCGTCTTCGCAATTTCGTAGGACATCAGGCCCGTTAGTCCAAGGGCCCATTAGTCCAAGGCGTGCCTCAGTGTCCCAGGTTTTAAGGGTTTCTGATTCAAATGTTAAACTTGCGCCCGCGGGGGGAGGGGGGGGGTCAAGCAGGGTACATACTAGCACGTGCATTTTTCATGAAGCGGCGGAGCGCGAACGGCCGCCATGCGCCCACGAACGGCTTCCAACGTGCCCAAAAACCTGCCATCTAGCGTCCCAAATGGCCTCCACGGCACCCGAAACGGCACCCCGAAGCGG